CACCCAACATCTATCCATCCATCCATCCATCCATCCATACATACATCTCTCTCCCACCCCCGCCACACTTTTGCCACCACTCTCTATCTGGCCATCCAAGGATCAGAGGTGCATCTGCCTTTGCAAGAGGAGAGAGACTAAGTAACAAAGGGTGGCAGCACTGCCGTGATTGGTGGAAGGACTCAGGCCAGCTCCTCCCCTGGGGTGGAGTCTTCAGATCTTAGAAAACAGTGAGGGTCACTGAGAAAAGTTTCTTTCTCATCTCCCTCTGACAACTCTGCACCTATGTTTCTTTTCAAAATACATATTTTTATTTAGAGAGCTCTCCTTTTCTTTTTAAAGACATGTTTCTTTAAAGAATTTCAAACATACAACAATCAGGCAAGAACAGTGCAACAAGCCCCCTTGCACCCATCACCCAGCCTCAGTGTGGGGCGGGATCCTGGCCAGTCTTGCTTCTGCCCGTGTCCAGTCTCCCTCCAGTTCATTCTACAGCACGTCCCAGACACACGATCATGCGTCTGTAAGTATACCAAGCACTACCCTGCAAGTGTGGGAACTCAAAAGTCCTTTGTAAAAACAATTGTCACCAAATGCCATTACCACACTAAAACCTCAGGTCACTTTTATGTTAATTTAATAATTCATTTCTGGCTTCATTATTCTGTTTTTACAAGATAAAATCTAACCAGAATTTAAAACATATCTCCAGATATACTTAAATAAAAGTTCAAATTAAAAAAATCTCCAATTTGAGATTTACTTTAAATCTACTTATATAATTATAAATTAGCATCTCTATAATTTGCTCTTTACTAAATGCCTTATGAAAAGTACATCAATAGAAACTAAAATAATGGAACCATTTTTATTCCCATTTTTCTCCAAAAGGAGAATATTTATTCAGCATCCACCTTAGGCAGGATATTCTTGGGAGTTTGGGTGGCTCGCTTAACTTCCCAGGTAAGGAGAAACAAAGAGATGAAGAGCTACTATGACCCATACCTCTGGCACTTGGCTGAGCAAGCACCTGAACTCAATTCTGTCTCAGTTTAAAGTCTGTCTATGCATTTCCACTTCCATACACAGGTAGCTCCACGGTAGCAGGGTTGTTAAACTCATAATGAGAAATGCTTTCTCCCACTACTTGCCCCTTACCAGGATCATAGACTGCCAGGCTGAACCTGGAAAGGGATCATTTTACCTCTCCTACATCCCCACCGTACAGAGGAGGGCCTACAGGCCCAGAGCTCTCTAGTAACTTCCCAAAGTCATTCAAGCTGGCAAAAGGCAGGGCCAGGACTACAATCAGGTTCCCTGTCCTAGGAGCAGTGCCCTTTCTCTGCATCCTGGAGTTCTAGTGCTCTTCCACCTACTTTTGTCCTCTGCTTGACAACAGGTGAGAGCATCCGATGGCTGACCGTATTTGGGAAGCCCTGGTAGCAGCAGGACACAAGCACCAAAGGTCAAAAAGTTATTCCAACACTCCTCGCAGTACCCAAAAGTGTATCCCAAGACTACACGCCCTTCCCATGGGCTGCTTAGCAGCATGCACTATGTAACCAGCAAGCCTGAAGAAAACCAAAGTCACATTTCTGGAGACTGCAATAATTACCTACTTAGTTATCATGAAACAAAGGGTGCAAGAATCAGGGAATGCCAAACAGAGAAAGGTACACCGAGTTGGTGTCAATATGCCAGCCTATCCATCCAGGTCACACAGGTCCAAGATGAAAACCTTTGCCACCAATAAGAATGTGTATTTCCAGTATTTCCAATTTTTATTTGCATGGTCACAACAACCCTATGAGGAAGATGGAACAAGTTTATAATGAGCTACTGAACCATTTCCCGTTTTTCACCTGCCAGTTATAATGCCTGGATGAGTTCAATAAAGTGAATATTTACTGAGCACTTACCGTGTGCCAGGAACTAGCAGAAGAATAAAAGAAACAGTTCTTGCCCTCTAAGCACCTACAGCCTGATTCAAGAAACACAAGCACATCCACAGGCAGAGTGGCTGTCCTTGGCTTATTCAGTGTCTTTCTTTAGGCTCTAAAATATGCTCATTAGGTCCTGACTCCCCTGAAGGTGTGGGGGGACCATTAAGACCAGATGACGGGAACAGACCCAAGGGACTACTTATAGCAAAAGGAGAGGACAAAGGAATGCCTTCATGGATGAGAACATGAGGTCCATGGAGAGTAGCACATCCTTGCAATGCTGCCTGTAGCCTGAAAGGCAGACTAACTTTTCTTTCCTGCAAACTTGGAGGTTAATGCCGGTGTCTTATAAACAGAATCTAAGAACTGGGTTTTCCAGAGTAATTTCAGAGTCCAACCAATGCACCAACTTCAGGCTTTCTCATTCACTGTCGTGACACATAGATGCGCTCCTATCACCTTTTGCTCATTGTACCCAACACATCTCATCTTTTGAAAAAGCTATAATCATGCATGTGATTAATCTTATCACTATGTTTACATCTTCTTTTGAATACTCAAACTTCAGCCTCAATAATAAATGTGGAAAGAGTCCCCGTAAGACTGAAATACAAAATAACCTTCAGAATTCTAGCACTCCTTATCTAAAAATAGTTCTGAGACTTTGAAATTATATAGTATGTTATCCATCCCATTATCGCCCAAGAACTCTAGTACGGTGACCGAAATGAAGTTCACTAAAATTTTACCTCCAATTCTAAACGAGAGCTGATTTAAAGTATTACAAATTACTAAACACAAATTACTGTATTCTGCAAATAGTTGTCATAATTCATTTCATTAAACACAGCTGGCTGCTTCTCCTGAAGCTTTACTGGAAAAGAAAATGAAATGCACCCATTATATATTTTAAAACTACACAAAAAAAACTAAGAAAAAGAATAAAATCAAGGTTCTACTTCCCTCCAAATTAGGGTTAAAATACCAATATCAGCTCTATTCACAAGGAGGAAGAGAAGTGATTTTAATGAGCTGGCATTAAGTAAAACCTATGAACCTACAATTTTCCCTTTCTCTGTTTGAGGACAAAAAGCCACTTCTATAAATGTTCATGCTGTAAAATCTCTAGGTATATGGAGGAGTTTTGCATCTAAACTGTTTGTGCAAACTTTACATTAGAACTGAAAAATAACAGAAAGGGAGAGTAGTACTGAGATGTCATCAGAGATTCCCAGGACCGGGGACCACCACACACTAACTATCCTGGCTGTGACTAGCGGCCCAGGGAGCATTCTCTGACTTTTTTCCTGTTCTTTTTTGCCTTCCTCCAACATGATGACTTGAGTGGATGCACTGGTATTCAAGTTGAAGAATATATGTATTGTGAACTAAAAAACAACACTGTGAAATACACTGCTTCTTCACTTTTCCAGCAGCGAAAGGAAAAAGCCTACCCTCTCTGAATGAGATGTTATAGTCTGTATCACTTGTTAAACTTAAGCATGGGTTGTACAGAAATGTATTCCATTAAACTGATGCTAATACATTTAAATGAAGAAAACAACAGAACTCCAAATAATAAAACAAATCTTCCCATGGTTAGGTTAAACCAAAAAGGTACGGACTAGTTAATTTGGAGGACAGAGAATTTAACTTGATAAGGCAGGCTAGAAAATCCAGGTGAAACAATAGCTTTCTCTGAAGGTTTGGCCACACCGAACAAATAATATTAATAGCTGCCATACAGGCTTTTCTTCCATGATGCTCTAACACCTCAGTCCTGAGCTGAAACTATGCAATCAGTCACTGTGTCATGTACAGAAGTGTGGAGTTGTGGTATGGCTTGACCTGGTCCACAAAGTTCATTTCAGAGCTATGAAAATCAACCCTGGACATAAAAGTGAAGTGATATTCTCCACGTGGCAAGGGTTTCAGACACAGGCTTACGAAGAAGTAGAGAAACATGCACGGAGGTGCCACATGCCCTGCACACACATTGCTGCAGAATGAGGGAGGTACTGGGGAGAGCCCGCCCAGGCTGCCACCCAGATTTATTAGAAATCCTTTTGGAACGACAGTATTTAAGACCTTGAACATCAGCCCACATGAATTTATACACCCTGATTTTTATGACAGTGAGGTTTTATTCACATTTAAGTTTTATTTTGATGGTTCAATTAAAAAATAATGCTAATGTTTAATTTTGATTTTTGAATAAGAGATACACTAATCAAATTAAGGATGAGTATTTAAGTAATTTACATCATTCTTCCAGGCATCGGCACTGTCACGGTGGTGGTGGTTTAGTAAGGGAGGCAGGTAGTGTGCACTCAGGTACCAGAGCGGGTGCCTGCTTGCTTAGATTCAAAACATGGTCAGCTGATGCTGCAAGCAATCGCACTGCCCTTATTATGATTGTAATTGGTGAAGCTATAATTGTTAACAATTATAAGGTCTCTGACATCCTTTATAAGAATTCTAGCTGTGCTCTTAAACCTTTATATTTTTAGTAGCCATAAATTAACTTGTCAATTTGGCTATGCACTGTGAAATAAAATTTCTTTTGCTTTTATGCTCAAACTCAGTGACCTCAATTTTACCAACTGTCCCCTCTCCTCATGGCACAAAAAAAGAGAAACACAAATGTCAAAAGAGCAATCCACCCAAAAAACAGTAACATTTCCATACGTAGACACTGTAATTTCCTGAGAAAGAGCCAAGATATTTTGACATTGAGTTTATATCCGAGTCTATTTTTTTAGCACTTCCTCTTTGCTTTGGATTTTTATTCGCTTTTCAAACATCCACCAATTTAAATAAAGCCATATGGTTCTTAAAAGGTCACTAAACCTTCCTAATTTCAGGGAGTTATCTTTTCCAAGTTGGTAACATTTGAGGTTGCAAATGGGTGAGAATCAAGCACAGTCTCAGATGATTTCACTCAGGAGGATCAAGCTGAGGCCAATGAACAACCCTGCCAGCCTCAGGATGCTCTGCAAAGGACGGCCACTATCATGAAGAGAAGGGGGCGTGGCGATGTCAGAAGCTCCTGCTTACCCCTTGTTCAGATTCCAAAAGCTCTGTTTTGACTCTGACTGCCGGCATCCCATCAAGCATTAACATTCTGTTTCCAAACGGGTTGCTATTCTGAGGATGAAAAAGAGAGAGGGGGAAATTCAGCGTTAAAGCATTCAAAGGAGGTCACATCTGGTCGGGCCTGCCTTCACTGTAGTACACTCAGTACCGCTAACCTAATTTTTTAACAATGAAGTATAATTAAATGAGAGTATCAGCATAACCAATTATCTCCTCATTCTGAACTTTCATTTGAAATAATGACGAAGAAGTTGAATTAATCAGTCTGATTCTCTGACCTCAGGGTTGGAGGTCAGACTGTAATAAACCAGAGTAAGGAAACATTCCATTAATTTATATGAGGCTGGGACAATTCATCACACTTCTGCTATAGTAGAAGGAAATATAAGGCAAGTTTCTTTCTTCTTTAGTTCTGGACGTTGTATGGCATCTAGAAATCCATCAAAAAGAAAATAGATAAAAAAGAATTAATGCATTCTCAAGTTATTGGCTCAAATTCTTCAAAACCAGACAATGCAGTTCTGGACACTGAATGTTGGCACCACGGCCATTCTGATCAAACACAGACTTTTACATAACCTCAACCCCAAACACCTTTAAAAACAACTAACACAAGTCTTGGATTAAGAGTCAATTTTTAAGTTGAAGTCCTAACCAAAGAATAAATAATGTTTTTTTGTTGTTGTTCTGGCATATGCCGGTCTCAATCGGCCTCCTCTTAAAAGGAAAACCTTATTTCTATTGTGGCTGGTCTCAATCGGCCTCCTCTTAAAAGGAAAACCTTATTTCTATTGTGGCTCAATGGAATTTCAAACTATATTCACAGAAAGATTAAAGCAAGGTTATTTTCTGCTAATTGTCATTGCTGTGGGGGTTTTCTGAAGGCAATAACTTATGAAGGTGGTCGGAAGGCCTCAAATCAGTCACTGCTTAAGGCCAGCATCTGGCTCATGTTTTAAAACATGTTGCGAACACCAACGTGAGCCTAGCACACTGACCAGACCGAAAAACTGAGACGACTAAATCTGACTGAGTTTTCAGAATGGTTCCTTTGCTCCATTATAGAGTGTACCTATGTGACACTGAAGTGATCTTATTAAAAGAAAAAGAGGTCTGTTTCTAAACTATTTTGTCTACCTGGTAACAAAGGTTAATATCATTTCTAAACCTCAGCTTTTTGCCTGTCTTACAGTAGAGTTAAATGAGAACAACTTCCACTTCAATAAATCACAAATTAAATGTTTTTATTACCAAATAATACCAATAGAGTGCAGTATAGTGAAGCTCTAATTATTTCTCCTGTTTCTTGACTCCTCTTTTTGTTTAAGAAAAATACTCTAACAAATAAAATTTATAGGGTCTCATTACAACTATTTGCTGCAAAATATCAACAAGAAGGAAAAGCAAATTTATTCTACAATTAATGAATGAACATTTACAAATTTCATGGTACCTCATCTATTAGGTGACAAAAAGAAGAAAATAAATGACTGTCATGTTCTTTTTGTAGAAATGCACATTATTATCAAAATTGACAGCATACTGCTTATAATCTTTGCTTTTAACTTGTTCATATTTGGGGGGATTTTGCATCCTAATAGATGGCTTAGAGCAGCAGGAACTTTCCTGGCGAGCTCAGTTAATTTGTTCCAAGCTTAACATCCTTTCGTGGAGGCTGGCGAGTTGTTTACACATCAAGCATGGATCTCACATCCCAGTGTGTCATTTGCTTCCCTGGTTGGAAGCTGCCTGCTTGGCTTGCCCCCATCCAGCCTCAGGAAAGCCTTCTAGCTGCGACCAGCCCTCAGCACTCCCCGCCTCGCACAGCAGCCCGGAATCTACTGTAACAAAGCATCCCGTGGGCTGTTCAGTTGGTAGACAATGAAGGATGAGTTGATATTGCTTCCTACCCCAGAGGAGGTCTTGTTCAGGGGAAAAAGGAAGATGCTCTGCAAAGGAGGGGAAAAGACAAAGAGCAATCCTGGCAAGGCAGGTTTAATGAACTGTTAGAATCTGATTAGAGGCTAATGTCCGTTTTAGTGCTTTATACCAATTTACAGCTGATATACTTTAACCATTTTCCTCACTGGCCGTGATAAATTCGTTAGTTTAAAAAATGCAAGCTAACCAGAGTCTTTGAGGTTAAAAACTGATAAATCCTGAAAACCTGACTGGGATCATGTTCCACTGAGCACATTTAATATCACTGTATGTTCACGATGGTTTTCTTTTTATTCTTGTTCTGGAATAATTCTACATGTGTTAAAGAAAGGTGTGCATTTCAGTTTCATGTGAAAGTGGAAAAAATAAAACACATTTTCAAAATATTTTTAAGAAGTTAAGTTTTCCCTGGAAATATTTCTCTTTCCCTCATTTTCCAGGATCCACAACCACACCCGTAATAAACACTATAAATGACAATGTTCATGGCTAAGGAACCAGTCCTTAATTATTACACTCTTTCGACTAGTGCAGATTCAATCTGTATGTGTGCCTGAAAGTTATACTGTAAGTATATACGGAGCATACTGACCTTTGCATTCATGATTCTAACCCTGTTTAGCAGAAGATTAGCAGTGAGCATCACAACACATCTCAGAGTATCCAGAAAGGGGTATGGTTTTCACAGAGTGTGCAGTAACTGCACAGCACTAAATACAGTCCTGGGGAAAAATACCGATAGGTCTATCTCTCTTCTGAGCTAAAACAAATATATACAATCTCAGGTGACTGTGGACTCTCAATATGTAATAAACTCTAATAATTTGAAATTGCTGTCAAACATAGCCTGCCATGATATTAATCAAAACACATTTGCTGTGGAATCAATAGCCCCATTGATTCCCAAGAGGTAAATAAAATTACAGAGTCATCAATTGTAGTAACATGGTCCTCTTTGTATATTTATATGGTAACATTCTGATATTACACAAGCCTATATAATTTATATATGTGTGAATACATTCATACATACTGTGTACACATAAGTTATTTTATACGAGTAAATTTTGTCAATTAAAGCAAAAGCTACCATCAGATTTATTAGCTGGCTGTTGGTCAATGACATGTGAATGAATGAGAATGGTACTCTGGATATTCCTATTTGGCAAATGAGATTTGGCAATACAACTGTCCAGCTGACAGAGCTCCCCTAGTCAAAAGCTGTATAAACACAATCATCACTGGTCTTCCCAAATCAAAATATTATGAGTGGAGTATGCAGGAAGGAAAGAGACTGACACTCAATGATCGTATCTCAGAAAAACACAGAACGGGAGTGACTTTCCAGGCTAACCACTCCACTCTGCCCTCCTACTCCCTCCAGATTGTGGGTCATCTAATTTGTACAACTGTAGCAAGAAAAGAGTAGGCCAGTCAATACTCAATAGACCTAATTTTAAACAAGGCTTTCCTTCATAAGCCAAAAATATCCACTGGTGTTTTGCTTTCTCAAGGTACAGGGCAGAGTCACTTAAATATGCATCCATCTTAAATTTTCATTTTTGGCTACAGGTGATGAGAAATATGAATCGCCCCCATCCATACCCACATTATGTTAAACAGTGTAGCAATTCAGGATTCACTGCACCACACTGATGAAGGCATTTTCATAGAAGATTCTTAAAGCTTTGCAACTAAGCGTGCCAACTGGTTAAAAGTATCATCCTTCAGTACACTTTTCTACAGAAAAAGCAAAAGAATCAGATTATAAGAAAATTAGATTTTTGCTAAAAAAATTTACAGAAGTCAACCTCTCCCCCCTTTTTTTGTTCATTCTATTACAGTTGTCCCAACTTTTTTTCCCTCTTGCCCCCCTCTAGCCAGCCCACCCTCTTGCCTACAGTCAGTCCCCTCTCCCCTGTGTGGGTCCATGCGTCATTCATACATGTTCTTTGACTAGTCCCTTCCCCTTCCTTCCACCATTCCCCACCCCCCTCCTCCCCTCCTCCAGCTACCAGTCTGTTCCACATTTCCATGTCTCTGGTTCTATTTTTCTCATTTGTTTATTTTGTTCATTAGATTCCAGTTATAAGTGAGGTCTTTTGGTATTTGTCTTTCGCTGACTGGCTTATTTCACTTAGCATAATAGCCTCCAGTTCTATCCATGCTGTTAAAACAAAAGGTAGGACTTCTTTCTTTCTACTGCCTAGTATTCCATTGTGTAAACGTACCACAGTTTTTTAATCCATTCATCTACTGATGGGCTTTTGGGATGTTTCCAGCACTTAGCTATTATAAATAGTGCTGCTATGAACATAAGGGTACATAAGTTCTTTTGAACTGGTGTTTCAGGATTCTTAGGGCATATTCCTAGCAGTGGAATCACTGGGTCATTAGGCAGTTTCATTTTAATTTTTTGGGAAAATTCCATACTGTTTTCCACGGTGGCTGCACCAATCTGCATTCCCACCAACAGTGCACTAGGGTTCCCTTTTCTCCACATCCTAGCCAGCACTTGTTTGTTGATTAGTTTATGATGGTCATTCTGACCTGTGTGAGGTGGCATCTCAATGTGGTTTTACTTTGCATCTCTCTGATGGCTTGTGATGCTGAGCATCCTTTCATGTGTCTGTGAGCCATCTGTATGTTCTCTTTAGAGAAGTATCTATTCAGGTCCTTTGCCCATTTTTTAATTACATTGTTTGTGTTCCTGGTGTTGAGTCATATGAGTACTTTATATATTTTGGAGAGTAAACCTTTGTCTGATGTATCCTTGGTAAATGTGTTCTCCCATATAGTTGGTTCCTTTTTCATTTTGATGGTTTCTTTATCTGTGCAGAAATTTTTAATTTGATGTTGTCTCATTTGTTTATTTTTTTATTTCCCTTGACCTAGGAGATGTATCAGAAAAAATACTGCCACATGGAATGTTTGAAATTTTATTACCTATGTTTTCTGCTAGAACTTTTATGGCATCATGACTTATATTTAAATCCTTTATCCATTTTGAGTATCTTCTGCTGTATGGTGTAGGTTGGTGGTCTAGTTTCATTTTTTGCATGTACCAGTCCAATTCTCCTAACACCATTTGTTGTAAAGACCCTTTCTAC